CTCCTGCCAGGAAAATCCCCAATTCCAGCTCCCCGAGGTGAACAAGACTGGTGTTTTGGGGTTGCCAACACTGAGTGGCTAGAGAAGCAGGGGTGACTCCCTGTGGGAAGATCCTCTGTGCTCAGAACAGTCTGATTCTTGATTCCACTCCTGCTCTCTGCTTAAGAGCCTGAGAAGGATCTACCAGAGCGGAGCTGCCCCAGTAATCAGGAAAATCTGATTGCAAAAGAAGATGGAGACATGGGGAATTGAATGAATGACACTGGGTGTGGAGAAATTTAATTTTTCATGGCCTTGGTTTTCTGTCCATGTTATAAATACTCAAATCTGTTGTTTTTAGCAAAAACAGTAGCTCCTGAAAGTATGAGAATATCTACTACTCTTGCCCATTTTCCTCCTACACCCATCCTAACCAGCTCCCTCTTTTTCTCTTGTATCAAGAAGACAGACTGACTGGCCAGGATTCCTTCATGGGTTTCTTTGTACCACCCGCACTACCGTGGATGGTTAAGATAAATGGTGTCATTCCCCCAGAGTCCTCGGGATGTGGTTGGCAGTGTCTGTCACCTGGGACCTTGTTAGAAATGCAGAGTCAGGTTCCCTCTGAGACCCTCAAGTCAGGAGATTCTGTGTAAGTAAACTTCTGTGAGAATCACACATACAGCAAATGCTGCTTCAAGGGAGCCTTTGGAAGCCACAGGCGGGACCTGTGAGACCCCAGGCACGTATATTTGTACCTCAGCCCCAGCCGATGGGCTGTGCTCTCCAGGGTGCACCTCATGGTCTCCCCTTTTATACAGACACTCACCCACAGTGCCAGCTGCAAATGGCCTTGTGGTTCACACCATTGTCCAGAGAACCTAAGCTAGTCTCACAGATAACTGTGCTTTCTGGGCCTAAATGACTTTATTTCTTAGGTGTCAGTAGCTCTTTCAAGTATGGCCCTTCGTGTGTTGTTGTGTGACTCTAGGTTACTTCAAGAAAGCTTTGCGGCCCCAGGAAATGCTGACACTTTTGTCCAGAGTGAGCAGAAACTTCTATTTTCTTAGTCAATTGAAAGAATTCACTGAAATAGGAATGAATAGTTGTAACTGTCAGGAATAATTTAAATACACCAGGCACTTCAGCTTTTTTGGCCTGTTTTTTTCTTCATATAAGAATTTGTTGGTGTGGTGGAAGCAAGGACTCCAGGATCCTTCCAGGCTGTCTTCCTGTCTCTTATGAGTCTTCTTGACCGTGTAAGACGTGGCTCCAGAAGTTAAATTTACAGCCAGACATGCTTGTACACACCTGTAATCTCAGCACTCTGGGAGGCTGGCAGGAGGATCACAAGTTTGAGTCCAGTCTGGGCAATTTAGTGACTTAGGGAGACGCTGTCTCAAAAGAAAAAGAAAAAAGGATGGGGATATAGCTCAGTACAAAGGCCCTGGGTCCAATTCCCAGTAACCCCCACCCCACGATTTTCCCACCATAGATGGGAATGGGACACAGGTGGAAATACAATGCTAGATTGGCTCTGTATGATGTTCTTGGAGTCCCAGGGAAATTCTGCTTCTGCTATTTTTCCAGTCTATATGTGCTTCCAGACTGTAAATCTGCTCATAAATGTAAACATTAACACTGAACATTTTTTTTTTGGTACCGGGGATCGATCTTGGGTCCTTGCACTTGCGCAGCAGGGGGCGAAACCACTGAGCTAAATCCCCGGCCCAGCACTGAACATTTTTAAAACCTATTTTTCCTTGTAGAATAGGCACAACATTGACAGACAGGCATCTCTAGGGCAGCCTGGTGGTTAGGTGTGGAAAGTCTGCAGTCAGATTGCACAGGTTTAAATATTGCCTCTGTTCTTACCTGTAAAGAGAGATGTAATAGCAACTTCCCCACAGAAAGTAAGTTGATAATATTAACTATTATCATGACATCTGGAGCATAAAGAAATTGTCTCGCTCAGTGGAAGGCTGAATGGAAGCCTGGGAATCAAAGGAAGAGGCTGATGGAGTGAGATTCACCTCTTCTCACTTAGTAGAGTGCCTCATTCACAACATGGGGCATCCAGGAGCCAGCACAGCTGGAGAGAGACAGAGAGCCCTTGTGGAGGCTGGCTACTGAGGCAGGAGGGACTCCCTGAGCGGTCAGTCTTGGCTATGGGAAGCAAGGTGACCTAACTAGACGCATGTCTGTGAGGCTGGGCAGTTTGCAGACTGTGGTGCAAACTTTCTCCTTTGAGCTCCAAAGTTCCTCTGTGAAGTAGAACAAGTGTCATGGTTCCTCCTTAATAGAGGAGGGTGCTGAGGCTCAGGAGAGGTCATAGCTTAGCAGAACAAGTCCCAACTAACTAGAGCCATAGTGTTGGAACTCCAGGTCCAGAGTCTTTTTCTCCTCGTTTCTCAAGGGATCTACAGACCCTGCAGCAGAAGGTCAGTGAAGACCACTCCCCCCTGCCCCAACGCACAGGGAGAGAGCAGCTCTAGAAAGAGCAGTCAGTCAGAAAGCTTCTGGCCAGAGGGAAAGCCGCCCTGTGGCTAGTACTCCAACCCTTAACTGTGGTATATGGGTAAGAGAGAGAGGAAGAAGGGAAGGGAGGTAGTAATGGCCTCATTGTCCCTTGAATGAGGCACGCTAAGCTGAGAGAGAGAGACAGACAGACAGATATGGCTTGAGTCAGTGGGAATCACCTATCCCCTAGGTATGCTCTGAAGAAGAATCATTGGTGATGTGTCTGTTTAGGACAAGGATGGCAAATACGTAGATGCATGCCTCACCTGTGCCCCTCTTATCCATGACAATCACTGCTGCCTGACCTTGATGTTTCCCACCCCGATTTCTGAACCTAGGACTCCATGCAGCCCTACCAGTCAGATCCATGAAGTGAGAGGAAACCTGTTGACCAAACCTCATTATTGGCATCCCTTCAGGACAGAGAACAGTGAGAGTTACTGGTGAATTTGTGTCTTTTGGTGTTTAGATGGTTCTGGAGTTCCTGGTGGTGGCAGCAGTGTTTCTGGTTTACCAGCTGCTTAAACTATCTCATTTGACAGACACTTCCATTGTGCTGTGTTCTACAGCAGCCCTTCAAATGAAATTGACCACCGTAATAGCAGTGAATGGCCCTCATTGTGACCAGCCATCTTTTCTCTCACATTAGAGGCAAATTCTCTCTTTTATTCCATCCACTAAAGTCTGGAAGGGAGACAATGATAAGAAAAAGGAGCTTCTCTTTCCTCCCAAACACACAAGGCCAGACTACCCTGTCCGATGGCCAAGACATGCTTTTCTGCCCTCTGCTCCCAGCTGACAGTATCTCTGAGCTCTGAGGGTGCAGCACACATCTGCAGTTGGCTGTCGTGCATAAGATGACCAGTACTGCCCCACAGATGCTTTTGTCCTGAGTGTGTTCCCAGGGCTTTGTTAGACCTGTGAGAGTTGTTGCTCTAAGACTTGAGAGTTATGGTACTATTGATTAGACCCTGTTTACTCTTTCCCCATTGGAGCAGTTGGGGGACAATAGGGAGGCAATGCAAAGGCTTGTGTTTAGGGTTGTAATGCATTTAGCATCTGGGTAATTAGAGCCACTGAGTGAAATTGATCAGTGCAGCCCCCTTGTATAAAAATTATTTGGCCACTAGCAGCTGGTTATCACTGATAAGCCCAGGAGCCCTGAAGGCTGCAGCTTCCTGCCTGTTCTAGTGCTCATATTGAGCAGGCCTAGCAAATGACTCGGCTTCTAACCAAAGACCATCAGTGCCTTTAAAAAATGCTTAGCGTGAGTTTACTGTTAATTTCCCTGATCATAATTATAGAGCATTTGGAGAATACAAAACAGTAAAAAAGGAATAATATCCACAACCCCACAATCTACAAAAAAAAATGCAAACTCTTGACATTTGGATTATATTTCATTGAAGTCTGTGTGTGTGTGTGTTTGGTGCTGGGGGCTGAACTGAATCCCTCATGCTTATTGGACAAATAATCTACCATGGAGCCTTATCCCCAGCCCTTTTTAAATTTTATTTTGAGACAGAATCTTGCTGAATTTCCCCTGCTGACCTCAAACTTGTGATCCTTTTGTTCTACTGTGCCTAGCTTCTATGTATAAATTTTAAGAAAATCTGTGTCATAGGGAAAATGCAGTTTAACTGTGCTCTTTTTTGCACTTATTTACCTATGTGTTATATGACTAGTTTTTAAATGCCATTTTAAGTAGATATATATGATTCTGTTACTGATGCACCATAATTTATTTAACCATTTGCTGTTGAACACTTTAGTTGTTTCAACATTTTTATATAACCAGGTGTAGAGGCACATGCCTATAATCCTAGCACTTGGGAGGCTGGGTCAGGAAGACTGCCACAACTTTGAGGCCAGCTTGAACAATATAGTCAACTTAAGGCCAACCCAAACTACATAGCAAGGCCCTGTCTCAGAAAAACAAAAAATAAAATAAACATTTTAATAAATGTATTCTTCATAATAGCAGCATATTTTTAGGGGAGAAAATAAGTAGGAGATAGATTCTTGACCTGTTTTCGCTGTGGTACTAGTGATGGAAACCAGGATCTTTAAACTGAGGTATAGCCTTGTTTTATTTTTATTTTGAGACAGCGTCTCAGTAAATTGCCCAGGTTGAGCTTGATCTTTTGGTCAGTTCCTCCCTTAGCCTCCCAGAGGACTAGGGTTACAGGAAATGATAGTAGCACATCCCACTGCTCATCACACACTCCCACCAGCATCCCAGATGAGTGTGGGTGCACAGAATCGTATCCCTGGGCCAATGCAATATGTGGCTCTATGCTTTGACACTTAGAAATAGAGATTCTCAGGCTCCCCAATAGAAAGTTTATAAGAACAGTGGTAAGAGTAATTGAGTCTCTTGGGAAATCGTAGCTGCTGTGTTAAAGCCTGTGAGGTGCCTTGGAATTTGGATGTGATGCCTCTTGTCTTCCTGCCTGTAGTCCAGCTCATGCTCACAGCTGTTTCTTGTTCTTTCCTTGTAGTTACTGGGGCTTCCGGATGCAGATGATGATGCATTTGAAGAGTACAGTGCGGATGTGGAAGAGGAGGAGCCCGAGGCAGACCACCCCCAAATGGGGGTCAGTCAGCAGTAAAACTTCGAGGGCGCCTCTGGAGGAGAGTGAGCCCTGCAGTACCCTTGGTGGGGTCGTGTGCTCTTGGGTTAGCATTTGCATTAGCACCTCAAAACAGGACGTCTGGCTCCCAACATCCAAATTCAGATGAAATACCTTTTTCATGACCACAAAATATCTGTGATGAGCTTTGCTCCGAAATGACCTGAATTTCAGTCCCACTTCAGTGGGTTTTCTATGGAGTTGTCTTGTGGTAGCCTTTGCCACTTTGAATCTAGAGTCCATTTTGTGGCTGCCTATTCTCTCTTGAGTTTATGTTAGAGAGTTAACATTCCCTGATTGGAATGTAGAGAACTCTGAATGTATTAAGGATGTGTTTTGAGTCCTCACAGGTGACCTTGCTGAGGAAAACCATGGCGGAGAGGAAATGCAGTCTGCACTTTTTATGTATCCTTAAGTGTCCGTAAGTGAAAGGTTTTACTTATAAAGCACGAGTTTTAATATCTAGTCGTTCACCTGCACAAGTACAAAGGCAAGGGCAGAAGAGGAGAATCACTTAGCTTTGGATTAAGAGGGGAAGAGAGGCAGAGAAGACATGAGAGTATCGCCATCAGTACCTGCGTACGTAGCAGCTGGTTCCTGAATAGGTGTAAATGTTACTTCCTTCTTCAGTTGTTTGAAAATATGCTAATTCCAAAGCTACTTTTAAAGTCTAGTAGTGGAAGATATAAATGGGGTGAAAGACATAAATTATTGACTTCTTTCAGCTATTTATAAAGCGTCCTACATATGAAATCAAACATTTACCTTTTCTCTTTCTAATGAGGTGGAAACTTGTTAAATTGTGAAAACATCTACAATCCAAGTAAGTGCCACTTAGATTGTGAAGCCATAGATAAATTTAATAGGAAAATAAACCAGGATTAAAAAATTTTAAATGCAACAGAATTCTCCTTTACTTTCTTAATCTTTTATTCTTTAAAAATGAAAAGTCAAGAAAAGGCTCCTGTTATTTAGTTAAAGTTATAGTCAAGTACTATTAAGGGACCTAATGGCAGTGAATTCTTAGAGTGCCATGAAAGTAGGAATATTAATCATGGGGTAGCTGGGTTGAAAGGGGGCATTTTAATAATCAAGATACTCAGACAACTCATGGAGACAATTGCTGTTATTTAGCCAACAGATATTTACGGGTACATCCTTTGCAACACTTACTTTCTTGGACCTTTTCATATCTTTGATTCTAATATCTAAGGATGTGGTGCCTCCTTTATAGCACTCAACTATTCCTAGCATCTGGGTTGGGGATGTCTTAATCATGCACACTGGTGCCCATTAAGTCATCAGCATTTTGAATTTTAAAAAAAGAAAAACCAGGAGTAGCTGAAGCCACAGAACTCATGGGAGTCTTGTATATCTTCCAGGCATGTCGATGTAAACCTGATTGTCTCAGCATTTTCTGTTTGAGTGGTGCTGTGGGGAGTTCAGCTGTTCGTGGTCAACTAGTGTACTACAGTCTTAAGTCCTTGGGTGAAATAACACAGTGGTTTCCATCTGTGCTTTAGTACCCATATTTTCTTCTTTGCTTGGAAAACATGAGCAGTTAATTTCAAGTTAAATGAATTTCTTTCAAGTAGCCTATTAGCAAAACCCAGTTTGGGGTGAGTGGGTCCCACCTTTTGCAGCCCTGCCTGTGCTCCCACTGGCTCTGCTCTCCAGCAGAGAAGGCTGAGCTCTTCAGTCTGTCGCTATTGCCCAGTTTGGTAACCTCCGTTTTTACACAATAGGATGCAGGAATGCCTTCCGCAACAGAAATGAAGCTCTGCTACCTTGCATTCTAAGGTAAACTGGAATTTTATACATAGAAGCTTCAAATCTAAATTTACATATGTTTGGAAATGGAATGGACATTAATATAAAATATATTTTACTAAAAAAGTATTTAGACATTATCCAGTACATTTCGGTATTATCATGTTAATGTTCTCTGTATAACAACGGAGTTGAGGTAGACTGGGCCATTCAATGGGCTGATGAAAATTCCAGGCTTTGTTCCACCGCAGGGGTAAGAGACAACAACCCTGGATGAGACTTATTTTCCATGGCAGAACCCCAAAGGTATTAGCAAATCTGATTGTTTCCTTTCAAACTTCCTTTTCTTTAATGGTGTGCCCAGTTCTCCCAATGCTCCTGTTGATGTGCACACGTGCACACACACATGGTCACTCACCCACATCTACTACACTGTGGCTACTCTTTCTGGAGCTCTGAACCAAGACCAACTCATGAGGTCAGAGAGATTGGCAGCCTGTAGGTTATTTTGGAAATTGTTCCTGAACTGAAACAAGTTCATGACCTTTCCCAAAGGTCCAGACCAGAGTCACTTACCAGGAGGCAGAGATAGTATGGGAGAAACATCTACTGGAACAGGAAGGACAGCTGTGTCCTAGCCTTGACTCTGCCACTGTCTCCATGCCCATGATGAGTCACTTAACTAGAATCAGTCAGGGCCCTTTGCTCTTCCGGAATTAAATGCTCCTTCTGTGGCTGCCTTAGGAAGTATATGGGCAGAGGAGTAACAGTCACCGACAGTTAGGGCCAGGAGAAGGAAATATGTTTGGAATCTTGCCAAAGATCCTGTCTTTAGGATGACGGCCACCAAGCCACCTTAGAATATGTTGGCCTGTGAGCATCCAACCCCAGAGTCTGCACTGGGCCCAATCAGTGCAGCTAATGAGAGCCTGTCCCTAACAGGAGAAGGTACCTAAGAAGATGTATTTGTCTTGACTGTCCCTGCCCCATTTGCAGAAGGTAGAGCTTTTCTTGGTCCCCTGACAGTGGGGGCTTTTTGGTATGGTAAACATTTAACTCGGGTCGGGGGCATGTGCATGAGACTAGTTGGAAAAGAGTAAAAGATGAATACTTTGACTTTTTTGTCCTGTCATTCAGGAGAAAGAGAGAGTGAAAGTAAAGTCAGTGAGCAAATGGGTGAGTGTGTGTATGAGAGAGAATGAGGTGTTGTTGATCGATGGCTTGTTGGTCACTGGCCAGCTGTGAAATCTGAACTCAAGCTTGTGATCACAGTACAAAGCCAGGGTCGTTGGTGTGACTGAGCCACGGAGACACTCTTCTTATGGCTGCCTGGCTCCTTCACTCTGCCCGGTGATCGTGTCATGCAGGCTTCAGGGAATTAGTGAATTGCAGAGCCAGGGAGAGAGGCAAAGCCCCATGTGGTGCCTGGTCCTGCCATGAGTTCCGCTACACAGAGGCTCCATGTCTGTTGCCCAGGCTCACAGCAACACATGGTACATTTTATTTTTCCCTAACCAAAACACAGAAAGTCCATTATACAGGATGGTTCTCTTTGTGTCCTGGTGCCAGAATTGGGTTTCTAGTGTACTTAAGTGAAAGCCTCTCTCCTCTAGTAGTGGCCAGCATTGTTTGTGTATAAATAGAAACTCTTCTCTAGCATAATACATGTCTTTGGATATTGTTTCCATTTTATGAGAGCACAGAGTGTATGGTCCTAGGAGAGCTGACCCCAGAGTGTCACTGTAAAATGTATATTTTAGGAACCTACTTTGCATGTTAAAATTTATAGGTTGGAAAACTGGCACAAATCTGATTTCCCATAGTGAGGGGATGTCAGAATAGACAGGATTTAATTTGAGTGTAAGGAGAAGAACTGGGGCAGGGGGAGAGTTAGGTCTCAAAGTCATATCTGACTTGTGAAAAACAAAAACAAAAACCAGTCATCAGTCACCATATAACTGGTTGCATGGCTCTTTAGGGACCTTCCTTCCTCAAAGAGACTTGAGTGTTGAGAGGATGTTGGCATGGGTTTATGGCTTTAAAAACAGCCCCCAGCGAAGGACACAGCAGGTGTCCTGCACATCTGGTGGGACTCCGTTCCTTCGGGAACCCAGCTGCCAGCCAGAGAAGCCTGTCTTTCAGGAGAGCTGGCAGATTGAGGAGGGGCCATGGTCAGGATGCGAGGGGCAGGCCCACCTGCTCCACCTATTCCCGAGTTGCAGAAAGAGCACAAAGAAAACTGCAGTTGGGGGGGGTAGATCGCTTCTTCTCAAGGGTGAGCCAACTCCAAAGAGATGCTGTTGCTGGTTGCTTCCTCTTTAGAGAAGCCTAAGATTTTTTTTCTTTTGCATTAAAAAATAATCCTCTTTCATAAAGACCCACTCAGTTATCTTGGCCTTCTGATAACAGGTATGACACAACAAGCTGATGTCTTTTAGATTTTATAAAGAATAATTCTAAAACTTGCCAGAATGCCTGTAGCCTGTAGTCTCTATGGCAGTGAACATTTCATGTTAAAAACCCCATTTATAGCAAAAAAAGTTAAAAGTGTGTCCCAGACCACATAAAAATGAACATTTAGTTTGCTCAGAACTATGTTCAAGTTGTTCGGTACTAGAGAGGATGCTGGCACTGTTTTTGGTAAACTGCCTTTCCCTGGTTTTTTTGTTTTGTTTTTGTTTCTCAAGATTCATTTTCTTACCAGGTACTGTAAAGATGCAGAGCAGCACTCTGTACACCAAATGTCAGCTTCTTAGAGGAGGAAGTAGATCTTCAGTGACAGACCAATCTGACACGATCTAGATCCATCCCTGATCTGTGAATGAGAGGCAAAATGTAGCTAAGAGAAAGAAAGAAGGAATGGGGTTATGGTTTGTTTTTTGCTTTGTTGTTGTTGTTGTTTTAGGCAAGAAGTGTTTCGTGTAGGGTGTGTGTTCTTTCTTTGCCTTCATATTTCCTTTGAAACAAATCTCTTGTAAATTACAAAACTGTGAAATGGGTTGCCAAAAACTGTTGCCCTTTGTTAGATGCCTCGAACCCTGTGAATCCTCTCTTGCACCCTATCCCCATCTGTTCCCTCCTCCCTCCCCGGGAGAGCAGGATCTCATCCAATGCTGTAATTACCATCCGCTTGCTATTAAAGAGCCTTCCAAACCCTGGTGGTATTTGCCTCATGTTTACTCTCTCCACAAAGTTTGGTCCTGCAGGACACCTATGTGCCTTGTAAATACCCAGCCAGGACCATCGGCAGGGGTTGGGCAGGAGACCTGGAGTGGGGGCAAGGCAGGAGGTCAGCACCTCGAACACTGACACAGATTCAAAGGTTAATGATTTGTGAGTTTTGAGGGCCATTCATGTATGTATCCTGATGCCATAGCTGGTGTTGAGTAATTTTCCACTCCTCCTTTGTACTTTAGTTTTGTATAAGAGGACTTATTTTTCCTAACCCAGTTAGGAATCTTTTGTGGTGCAATTAGAAGACTCTATCCTGTGGGCATCCTGTGATGACATGACGCCATTACTTTACTCTTTTTCCTCCCAGTTGTTGTAACTCACTGCACAATGGCCTTTAAATAATAAATCTGAAAGTTGGTGGTGAGTTCCACTGTTTGATTAAGAGCAAGTTGGTTTCTTCAAATGAATGGGTCTCCATGGATTGTGAAATTAGGTTTGAGAGCAGCTTAATAGGCACAGCATAGAGGCTTGTGTGTTTGTGTTTTAAATAATTTAATTTGGCGTTCTTTGTTTTCATTGTGGCTGTTTTCCACGATTTTAACCAAGCTTTGGGCTGGTTACACACATTCCAAACCTCTGGCCCAACACTGACTGTAGCAGGGTGCTGCGGACCAAACCTTCCTTGTGGGAGGGTCCCTTTGTTCCTGTGACTTGATCACTCTAACAGGTGTATTCTGTAATGTAACTTACATATTATAGAATCATGGGTGTTAGAAATATCTACATGCCAACCTGGGTACATTAGTCACAGCACTCAGGAGGCAGAATCAACAGGAGCCCTTGAGCTGAGGAATGCTGAGATTAGCCTAGGCAACAGAGCAAGATTCTGTTTCAGAAAGCCCACATTTCCCCTTTGCAGTTAATCTCTGAAATCAGCGGGGGGGTGGGTGGAGGTTTGAGCCCAGATTTGTCCCTGGTGATCTGTGTGACCCTAGGCATGTCCCTTCTGCCCCCAGCCTTTGTTTCTCATCATAAAAAGTAAGCATGAGGACTCGTGTCTGCATTCTGTTGAGCAGTGCCATTGGGAATGTACCATGCCTTGGCCTTGGAGCCAGTGAGGCATGGGCAAACACTGGCATTGGCAAGCTGCCTTCAGACTAGAACCTAAGATTCCTTTTAGAAAAGAAGACCCCACCCTATGGTATACATGTATAGTAGCCAAAATGCCAGTCGCCCTATTTTTTTTTGCCTTCTTACTCTATCCTGTTTGTTTTTTGCAGTATTGGGTATTGAACCCAGGGTTTTTGCACTGAGCTACATCCCTAACATTTTATTTTGGTTTTTTTTCCCTTAAATTCATTTATTGGTACATTTTAGGTAAACAGTACATTTACATTTATCATTGGGTGCTCGTACCTGTACATGATGTGTCTTGGTTCTTATTTTTTTTCCCCATTACCTGTGTGCCCTTCACCCCCTCCACCCTTCCCTATTTACAAAGACTTTGTTTCCATTTTTTTTTCTCATAGTTTTTCCTTTCCCTCCTTTCCCCTTCCCCTCCCACCACCCTAACCCCTTTGGACCTTTTCTTCCTATTTGAAATTATCAATTATTCGTTTTAATCATTTTAATTCTTATTTACACTTTCAGTTTCTCACACTAGAGAAACTATTCGGTATTTACACATATGTGTCCTATTTATTTCACTTATGAGTATGGCCTCAGTATGCATCTATTTAGCTATAAATGTCTCTAGTTTCTCATTCTTTATGGCTGAGTAGTACTCCATTTTATAAAAAAAAATCACATCTTCTTCATCCAGTTTCCAGTCAATGGGCACTTGGGCTGTTTCCAAGCTTTAGCTATTACAAACTGTGCCGCTATGAACATGGGTGCACATGTATCGCTGTGGTATGATTCTTTTACTTCTTTTGGGAGGATCCCCAGCAGGGGAATAGCTGGGTCAAATGGGACCTCTAGTCCTAGTTCTTTGAGGTTTCTCCATACTGATTTCCACAGTGGTTGCACCAGTCTGCACTCCCACCAGCAATGGAGAAGGGTTCCTTTCTCCGCACACCCCTGCCAGCATTTGTTATTGGTCAATTTCTTGATAGCAGCCATTCTTTCTGGGGTGAGATGGAATCTCAGTGTTGTTTTCATCTGAATCTCTCGAATGACCATCTCGAATGATGTTGAACACTTTTTCATATATTTATTTGCTGCTTGTACTTCTTTGTCTGAGAAATGTCTGTAAATTTCAGATGCCCATTTCTGAATTGGGTCTTTGAATTTGGGGGCTCTGATTTTTTCAGTTCTTTATATATTCTAGAATAGTAGTCCTTTGTCTAAGGTACAGCTGCTAAAAAATTTTTCGCATATTGTAGGTTGTCTCTTAGCTCTGATGGTGGTTTCTCTTGCAGTGCAGAAGCTTTTTAATAAGATGAGATCCCAGTTGTTGATTCTTTCTGCTAGTTCCCGTGCTGCTGAGGTTTTGTTCATAAAGTCTTTTCCCATGCCAATGTCTTCAAGAGTTCTACCTAACTTATCTTCCAGCAAGTTTAGTGTTTCTGTCTTAATATTTAGATCTTTAATCCACTTTGATCTTAGTTTAGTGCATGGTGATAGGTATGGGTCTAGTTTTAATCTTTGGTTGAAATCCAGTTTTTATTTTTTATTTTGAGACAGGGTCTCACTGATTTGCCCAGGCTGAGCTCAGACTTTCAATCCTCCTACCTCAGCCTCCCATAGTGCTGGGGTTACAGCTGTGCAGCACCCACCTGGCTGCTCCCTGCCCATTTGATCAGTAATGAGGAGTACGAAGCTCCTTGGCTCAGAGATGTAATAAACAGTCTCATTCTATAGTGAACTTGAGCTGGGTGGGAGTCTATATTGTCTCCAGGGTTCATTCTACACACACAGGGGTGGATGTACCACACCCCTGCCCAATTGGGATGAACAGATACTCTTTTCTTCATTTGGCAGCCCTGGCTGTGTGGTAGTTTGGAAACTGGGGGACTGCATCCTGAAATAGCTGGCACTATACTTTTCCTCTTAGCCCCATAGCAGGGAGAGACCCTCTGAAATACTTTGTACCTATTTTGGACCCAGGTTTTTTCCTTTCTGTGTTAGAAACAGTGACATTTAAAAAAAAAAATCTGTTCAAGCAGTAATTAGCTAAAAAAACAAGGCAGGCATTTCCTACTAGGTAATGTTTAAAGTAGAAACAATATATTTTCCTCCTGTATTTTCTAGGGAAATACTGCAACAACCACAGGATGTAAACAGCAGTGAAATGAAGTGGGTCCTATGGGATGCTTTTTAATTGGAAGCCTCTAGAGGTCAGTACCACATAAAGGAAGGACTCACACGCCCTTCCCCTGTGGAGCCTTTGTGAGAAGAGGGCGGTATGTACACATTGAGAAGGAGGAGGGCTGGCCCGGCTGGCCAGAAAAGAGGGAAGTGTAGTTTATGCATACACCTCTAACATTTGACTCCTGCCCCTGCCCCTTTTTGCTTCTTCTCACCCTTTCTTTGTGGCTCCCACACCCACGTATTACACAGTCAGCTGATTGACCAATGAATGAAGTGTGGCATTTGGCTCACCCTAAGAGGGTTGGGGAAATGCCACAGATGAGATGGGGTTCCATGCACTCGTTTTGGCAGGTACAGGGCTGCTCTGTGTTCCGTGTCCTGCTTGTGTGCCCTAAGCCTTGCTCTACTCTGTGACTCCCAGCAAGCTTCAGGGTGCCTGGGGCGGGACCAGGACCATAGGTTCCTGCTTCAGCCCAAATCTGGGTACTTGAGGCCTGCATGGGTTAGAGGTGGGGTGGGGAAGGATTTGACCTTTAGGAGACCTGTGCAGAATTGAGCGACTGGTACTTCTTGAAAACTGATAGGCATTCCTGGGGGCTCCCAGACAGAAGGTACACGAACACCGTGTAGGACTGGCCACAGGCTTCTCTCCACCTGCCTCCAAATCACAGCCAGAGGCAGCCTTGGCAGTCCCCAGGGACTCCCAGCATGGCCCTTGGTTTCCTTTTACCTGGGAACGGAATAAGGGAAACAATAAGACTTTTCTCCCTCTCTCTTTCCCCTTCTGTTATTGTTCCTGTCTTCTGAGGAGCCTTCTCACACTGTACCAAAGAGTCTTGAAGACTCTTGAAGATCCCCTTTGGGGGAATCGTGATGAGTCTGGAATGCTCACACTGAGAAGGGATATTGATGAGAAGGCCGAAACATGTCCATGTGCATTAGATGCTCAGATTCCCCCAGAAAAGCATCTTAACACTTAATACCATTAAATTCAGAGTGATGGTTTTCAGATCTTGCTGAGTATGTACTGTATATTTCTTACAAGTCCTGAGCACCCTGATGATTTTTTAGTCATTTTTGTCATGAAGCAAACAGTACAGAGTGAATACCTAAGATGTGTAGGCTGTTACATAGAAAAACAATTTACCAAACTATTATCTAGTCTTTGCTGAGTACCAGGCACTGGTACTGCTTACTCTTTTTAACTTAATTCTCCCAACAATCCTATAAAATAGATAGGGTTAATATCCTTCTTTTACAGATGAGACTGAGGCACAGAGAAACTAACTTTCACAAGATCACAGGTAATGCTGGCATTCGAACCCAGGCAGTTTGGCTTCAGAGTAGTTTTAACAGCTGTGCTCTGAATAGCACCGTGGGAGTACAGGAGTGGTCTTATTTCGAATGAGAGCTGGTTCTTTCACATAGCCTTACCGATGTGGTGAAAGCTGCTGAGCTGTGTGGCTGCCCAAGCACAGAATGGAAGAGAGAACATTGCATGGACTCTGACCAGGTTGGCCACACTGGGTGCATTAGGGTGTAAACGGATAACTTTCTTTCCAGAATCCATGCACTTATAAAGATTTGAAATTGGCTGGAAGAACTAGGGCAGCAGTTTGTAAAACTAGAGGATTCTCAGACCTGCGCAAGGCTGGGGAAAAAGTCGATTTGC